AACCTAGAAACTCATAGGTCGAGAAATCAAATTTCTTGGAACGGGACTCCAAAAAAGGTCACGAGTTCCTGCAGATGCCTTTGAGAGAGTCGGAGGTGTTTTCTGGAAAAAATGTCTGCGTGGCCTTTGGCGCCAGAAGCAGAACGAGCTGCAGATGGCCGGCATGGCGCAGATCGCCATGCAGCGCTTAGTCACCGAATGGCTGCGCCACGATAGCCTCTGGGAGGCGCGGAGAGCGCCCCAGATCGGTCGGAAGGGGAGGGCGTGGTGGCATTTGAGATAGGTGTTTGGGTGGCGGAAGATGAGTTCGTGAGTTTGTGTGGACCAACAAATGATGAAGAAAACACAGCCTCCCAGCATGGAGATGAGTGGATCATGAGTGGCAGTGGAAGGATCGTGGATCGAACCACTTCCAGTCTTCATCAGGAAGGCCGCAGATGTCTAAGTAGTCTAAGTAGTCAGTGGTCCACGGATCACTCTCCTTCCCTCTCCTTACACGAAAAGAGGGACGCCAGAGTCTTCACTTGCTCTTCACTTGCGGCCCTCGCTTCCAGGAGACCTCGGAGGGCCGCTTCCTGGGGCGGCTCATGAACCTCTCCCATGAGCAGTGGAAAACGCAGCGCCTCCGCGGCAACCGCGAACGCGGTGACCGCGTCCGAAGCGTTTCAAAGCGGTTTGCGCGGACAGGTGTCGAGGCTTTTTTTGTGGGGGGAATCGACTCGAGGTAGTTAGGTGGTGTCAGGTCACTCTGAAGTGAAATTCATATAGACCCCCAAGTTGATAGAAAAGTAGATCCCCACTTAATAAAATAATGGACTGGAAACCGTTTCTATCTATTTGGTGACCACTGTTTCAAATAATGACTATATACACATACGCGCGAAAAACACACATGATATCATGATATTAATTATTTCATTATAAGTGCCGTGGCCTGGAACCCTTCGTGATTTCCACACCGGTGTGCGTTTCACCCGTCCGAAAAAGATGGCTCCCCTGCCGGGTGCTGGGAGCCGCAGCAGGCTGTGCTGCAGGGCGTGCTGCACTCTGCTGAGGCTGATGTTGGAGCAGGAACCCTTGGATTCTTTGAAGCTTCGTGAGGAGATCAAGCAGCTCAGCAATGACGCGCGCGATGAGCGACCACGTACTTTTCGCGCTCTGAGACGACCCCTACTGAGGGTGGGTCCTGGCGCTTGACCACCTGACTGGGCGAAAACCGGGGAACACAGCCCCTGGAGGGAAGCCACCTGACTTGGCGGCTCTAGTTACTTCTTGGTGGATTTTTGCCTTTCAAATCTGGTCGCCACCATGCAGAACATGTTCTGGAGAGAAAACCTGGAACAACAAGGAGGAAGTGGAATTGTTCTCCTCTGCTGCATTGTCTGAGAGTCTTTTATTACGCACGGTTTCTTCACTCATCGGGGTCTCTTCATGCTGCCAAAGTGTTTGCAGCAGTGGAGCATGTGGAGAATTCCGTCTTGAAAGGTGGACCCTCATGGCAGAAAAGAACGCTTGACACACACACACACATTTCTGAATGGATGGCACTTTCCCCCAAGTCCAAACCACCAATCCAAACCAAGAAGTTACATGCGACTGAACAACTATGGATTTGAGGCCCCTGGACCTTCAGTGTCCATTCGAATCATCTGATCCTACTGCTATACTTTTCAGATCGGGGTGGCACGAGGAAGCTCAATCGATTGTACAATCTGGGTGGTTGTTGGTCCAACCAGTCAAGAAGAGGGCACTTTTCTCAGCCCACACTGAGGATCATCAGCGAGACTAGGGCCTGGAGCCTGGGATCATCAGTGGTCACGTCAGATAAGGGCGCCCCGTACTTTGGGCCCCAAAGTTGATCACAGCACGCAGACGTTCAATTTGGAGGGAAACTGCATCAGATTCGCATTTCTGACAACGCACAAGTCTATTTTGCAATATTGGCTGACCACACTTGCCACACTAGGCCCGCAGCCACCTTTTGCAGATGATCGCACTGCTCAGAGGTTGGAGTGCGTTTTGCCACGGGTTGATGTGAGGTCATTGGCCTCCCCATGGGCAGCAAACTGCAAATCTATGTGGCCAAGTACCTTCAGGCGCGGTGGTTCTATGGCCGAACTTTGGTTTTTCAAGTAGTACTACTGTATTATGGAAAAATGTGTGAGCACATAATTTTATAGAAAGCACATAGAATGCAATAGAAAGTACATAGACAGTCAATAAAATAGTAGTACTAATAGTACTACTTTAGATATGTACATATTATATTATATAATAGTAAAATATATTATATGCGATGTTGACAGTCGATGAATGACCCCCGCGCACCTGGATGGTCTCAAACCTTCACATGCGGGGCGACATACAAACACCCACACACACAGAGATCGATCGATATCTGATTGCAATAAAGTTTTTCAACGTATGTATGCATATAGAAAGATCTATCTATCTATGTATCTATATATCTATCTATCTACCTATCTATGTATCTATCTATCGATCTATCTATCGATCTATCTATCTATCTATCGATCTATCTATCGATCTATTGATCTATCTATCTATCGATCTTTCGATCTATCGATCTATCTATTCTAATCTAATCTAATCTAATCTGATCTGATCTGATCTAATCTAATCTAATCTAATCTAATCGATCTATCTATCTATCTATCCATCGATCTTTCCATCCATCCATCCATCCATCCATCCATCCATCCATCCACCTACCTACCTACCTACCTACCTATACATGCATACATATACGTGTATATATATAATCATGTTTCAGGTCTGGCAGGCTTGGGTGAACATGAAGTCATTTCTACCACAGGTTTGAACTAACGAACATTTTGGCTCAAGTGCCTTGGCCAAAATAGCGTTTATTCTCTCTTTTTCCCACCCAGCCCACCCTGGCGTAAGGGCCCCCTTTCCTTACCCTTGAAGGGCTAGGCTTGCGCAGGGAACTGCGATCTGTCACAGAGTTAGGTGGTAGGACCACCTTCTGACCAATAATATCCAATAATTAACATTGACCCCGGGGGGGGTTGTGGACCGGAGTCCAGTCGTGGTTACCGGAGTGACCGGAGGTGAGCCACTGTTGGTCTGACTGTGACAGACCTGCCAGTGCAGGTAACCCCTACACAAGCTTGGATAGAAATGTATATGTATTCACATTTACACACATAAGCACATATGTCTACACATCACGCACGCACACACAACCAACCACCCTCGCGGCGGCTTCGACGGGGTCCTTCGACTCGACCGACCGTCCCCGAGGGGTTGCTGGGCTTCATCGATGAGAAAGACCAGATGTTGGAGACGAAGGCGGTATACGACGACGCGGGGAAAGCTGAGAGTGACGACGCGTAGAGGCGACATACTTTAGTCATAGAAATGGGTTGGATAACATAGAGCTGCTAGAGTGGCGCCCGCCTGGCGCCAAAAAAAGAACCGACAAGCATGGGATGGTTTTGGGTAAAACTTGGCCCCGAAAATGGGTCCATGATTTGCAAAGATGGGACGTGGAAGACCAACTCTTAAGGACTGATGATATTTCTTCGCCCCCATATGAAGTGCTTTTTACCAATCCATGTCTATGTCGGGGGTTCTCTTCCTCCTTGACCGGAGGTCTCTTGGGTTGCTTTCGGACCTCAGCCTTCTAGTCCGTTCCTGAACGCTGTTTGGCCACAGTGGCAGCTGTTTGGCCAGCGAACGGTTCGGTATCTTAGTTCGCTCGATTTGGGGGATAAGACAACTGCAGAATGTGCGTCCAAATCTGTTAGAGCTTTGGATTCGATCAGCTCCAAAAATTTTACGAGGTGAGGGGGTTTTCCGCCTACGAAAACATGGTCCCTACTCTCTCTCCCATGGTTCCATTATGCTTGGCACGTGGGACGGCATGTTCCACCGATCATCCCTCTGCTTTTCCAGGCGACGTGAGCCGGCCGTCGTGGTACGGCTGTGAGCCTCCCGGTGTTTCACCACCCTGCGGCCCTGGGGCCACACCTGTGGGCGGTTCGGGTGTTAAAAGGTTGCGCCCGTGGGCGCCGGAAGCTTGTCAAGCAGCTTCGGGGAAGCTTCGGAGAGGTTTGGTCAAATCCCACACCTTTTGGGGGTTTTGATGCATCAAGAGTCCAGCAGGATCATCCCATTGATCCTGTTTGGGTGTCCTACCTGGAGTTCCCTACACTACTCAGGACGTAGGGATCTCCAGACAGGACATCCAGACAGGATGGTCCAGGTACATTACACCGGTTTGTTGGGCAGCTGGCGACTACAACGGGGAGAGACTGCGCCGGAGGTGTGTGCAGCCCCGGCTGAAGAGCCTGAGTTCAGTTGGCTCATTCATCCCCAAGTGCTCATTATTCAAGACTCCAACCCCAGACCGTCAAGGTGTGTACAGGTGCCAAAACGACACTTTGTAAGACACCGGGCCCAGGAATCAGCTTCTAAATCCATCTCCACACAAGTGCACTACAGCCTCCTGCATGTGATGCACCACCTGTGTGATGAGCGATGCTGTCCCACTCCGCTCGGGTCCTTCACCCCCCCCAGAAACTAAACGCCTGCCAGACAGCCACCCTCTACCCAGGATGATCCAGGATGTCGGGATTGAACAACGCGAAAGTTCGAGACATCCCACGTCAAAAGTTCGCCCCAATACACCGAACGACTCTTCCAAAAGGGCTGGTCACGGCCGGATGTTGGCAGATGTTGGCAGTCCATGGATTAGTTCAAAGAAACAGACGAAAACATGATGAACACAGTTCCGGAACCCTTTCCTGTCCGGATGTTCCAGCCATAGATGGCCTTTGACCCTTGGTTGGTTGATGACTACAGGGGGACACCCCCGGGTCGCGAAGAACAAATAGGTACGTGGTACCGAATCGACCCCTCTATGGTTCTCAAGGGCGGATGCTGCTGATGTCCTTGCAGCTCACAACTGTCCCAGCGCTGTTCGAGGGTGAAAACACTCTCGGTCTGTGGACCAGGTGTGGTCCGGTGCTGCCGGACCTGGAGCATTTGCTCTCCAGCTTCGAGGTCACGTTGAGGCGCTGGCAGCGCCTCTCCCGCGAGGAGCGCCGAACCGCAGCGTCCATGCCGGCTGGGTCGGGCTTCCTACCGGAGGTTGGTGGGTCGGTGGGTCGGGTGTGTCCTCTGCACCCCTCCACTCTTAGCCTCTGAGCTCCTTTTCACAAGCCTCTTTAGGAGACCTGTGGGTGGTCCGGCCGTGCGGGTCCTTTCCTGGACTCTTCCTTGGGTCGGAGCGTTTTGGAGTTCAGCTCCAGGCCTGGATGGACATGCGAACGGTCTGGATGAAGTTCCGACCCGCTGGAAACGGATGGAGCTGTCAGAAGCCCAAAACCCTCCCGAAGCGCTGTTAAGTTCACTTGGTGTTCCCAGAAGATGTTTCTTTTTTCTTCAGTGACCTGGTTGGCTGCCTCACTGGGCTGATTTTTCAGCGCTGGGGGGGAGCAGTCGAGTGGATCTTGATCGTAGCGTCGTAGATGTTGCGCACCCAGATATGTGGGCATTCCCCACCCTAAGGATCCTAAGGTCTTAGGACCCTGCATAGCAAAAAGACTCGGATCCTGCCGCATCCTGCCACCCCCTTTCCATGTGAGGGCTTGGTCAGGTCAGAACTTGGAACTCCAATCAGGCCCCAATCCTGTCGAACTCGTTTTCGCGATCTGCAGGAGCAGGAGTCCGATCCCTTCGCCAACTGCCTCTTGGGTCCCTTCGAGCAGTCGGGTGCAAAGTCAGGCAGAGAAACAGAGACGCATCAACGAACAACAATCTTACCAGGACCATCCTGTCTGGGTGCCCTGGCGGACTACGCGTTTCACTACTTAGGGATCTCCACAGGATGGTCCGGGCCAGTTCGTGTATCATAAAATAAGATGTTACTGTAAGAGTCAGAAGTGGTATACAAGTACCATCAAGTACCTGACTCCTTCACCTTTGATGATCCCTTTGGATTTGGTGCGCTCAAAGAGGGGTCAGATCAGAAACTCTGTTCATGTGCAGAAGATGTGCAGCTTTTTTGAGCGCAGCAATTGGCTTTTTTTTCTCCCACTCCCTGGGAGTCAAAGACTATTAAAGGAATGGTCTGACTAGGTGGGCCGAAAAGGAATCTCCTTTACTTCAGTCGGTCAAAATATAGTCTTTAGATATTTAGGGCACTGGTTACCCCTTCCTTCCTGAATGTGGTCCATGTTTGCGTTCCTTTCGCTCCTCCCCGAGAGGTAGCAGTGGTGGCGGTGGTGCATCCTGTTTCTACTACGACCTGGAGCACTTGGGCACCATGTGATCTGGGAGGGGGAAGCCAGTTTCAGGGCATACTTTTCAGGCTGGTTGAAGCAAACATCTTACTTTTTTCCCCAAACAGTTTACTGTTGGGGTTCGATCTTAGAAAGAAAAGAGCTGGCCACACTCGCTGGCCGTGCCCCTGAACTCTGTGGCTGGGCTTTGTGGCCCGGCTCTGTGTCCGGGTCTTGTCCTCCTCTTGTCCTTGTCTTGGCCGCGCCCCTGAACTCTGTGGCTGGTCTCTGTGGCCCGGCTTACTGGAGAAGAGTGTGGCCGAACAAATAGCGATGCCGATGCCGAGAAAAATCACCGATAAAGCAGTTTGCTCTTGGGGCAAAGGTAGGGCGCACCAAGAAAACATTTTTTTAACTAACATTGGTCCAAGCGAATCGCTTTAAAGCTGTTTGGGGTCTATGCTGGTATATTTTCGTAGATTCTGTGTGTTCTTTTTGGGGCGTTGTGTCATCTCGGAGACGTCTGGCCTCCGTGAAGCGGAGCGCCAAACGGACCAGGCCGGTTTCGCCACGCCACGGCACCGAGCGCCCGGCCCCGAGGAACGAGCGCACCGTCTTCAGCGAGGCGGAGCGCACCTCGGGGCTCGGAGCCTCCGGGGGGGAGGGAGATGGGGAGGGGAGGAGAGGGGAGGGCCGAGAGGGAGACCTCGAAACCTGAGATTGAGGTCCATTTGGATGAACAACAACCCTCATAGTCGTTTTTTGTTTTTTTTTGCCGATCCAAACGGTTGTGACGTGGGTTCTAGGGATGGTGGTTTCTCAAAGGTGCGCAGCTTGCTGCGCAGATGTGGAAGATTTCAGAGGTCTTGAAATACAAATACTAGGCGGTGGTTTCGGAGATCTTTGTTCAAACTTGACTTGGGATGTTTATTTTTTGGCCTTGCCCCTGACCAATGATTGTTCAATCGAGTTGACGCCACCAAGCAGTTATGGATGCTTTATATTATATATATAGGATTATATAGGTCATCCTGGGTGTATATTCCAGTCAATGAGGACATGTCGCCAGGATCGCTTCCGGGGGGGTCGGTTCCGGAAGTGCCTCCTGGCGCTTGGATGAGGCGCCTGCCCGTTGACGCCACGCTACACTCGGGTAACCCGAGTGGTCCAGGAAGTGCGCCTGCCATAACTGGGCTGACTTAGCTAAGCTAGGCCAGCACTATAGAGATTCCTTTGAATCCATTCCCTGCTCAGCACCCAGTCAGTGATTTGGGTCCCTGTAGCTTTCCGTGGTGTGTTGCATTGAAGCCTCACACCGGCGGAATATTGTTCCGAAGGTGCCCAGCTTTTCAGGTTAACACATGTTAACACTAAGCGCCGACCCCTGGAAGTCGGACCAAGGCTCTTGGTCCTTTCCCTGCCAGCCCTCACCGAGCTCATGCAGGATGTGGAAGTGCAGGCCACCAGTGTTTGGGTGAGGATGGGGGCCATCCATCTGGCTGAGACGCGGATGCGTCTCCCACTGGATCATCGCTGGATCATCCAGTCTTGGGCTCCCTTCCGCAGCTTCGAACGTCGCACCAACCTTCGCCCGCGCTTGGGCGGACGTCCGCCCTGCCGTGGCCAGTCTCAGAGCCTCGTGGAGCTTCGCATCCTGCGGGACCTGACGGTCGCGCGGAAGAACCGCGAGGCGCGGTGGGACGGGTGATGAAGACATCCAGAAGTGGAGAACCCGCAAGGCACCCAACTTGTGGGGATTGGATGGGAGTGGGGTTTCCAACAGGTAGAAACAGTTAACCATTGACCATTGATGTTTCAGGGAAACCGCTAAGGTCGGATATGGAATATGGGACCTATAATTTTGCGGTGGCTTGTTTCGATTGTGTGTGTTTTTTTTCCCCAGTATGTGAGAAGGACGCTTCGCCGAAACCCCAAGTGACCGAAGTGATGCTTCAGCAGGTGTGTCGTCGATGGAAGTTTTCCCTCTATACGGTTCATCTCCGTGGGCATTTGGTGACCACTCTTCACGGATCCAACTGATTCTTGCAGGCCATTTGAAGGGCTCCATGCTCGGGGGCTGTCTCCCAAGGTGTCCAAAGACAACCCACTCACAAAACCCCACCTTCGGCCCCCCTCTCGCTCCCGCGCGCGCTTCCGGCCGGCCAGGTCCGCGCCAAGGCGGAGCGCGCAGAGCGCAGCCTCGGCCTCGGCCGCCGCAGCCTGCGGCACCGGGTGCAGCGGCGACTCAAGGTGCGGCGAGCGCGTGTCGCCCGCGGCTTTGGTCTATTTGCCTTCTTCCAGGGGGTCGTTGCCTGGGAGGTCTCCCTATTTTAACACACCCAGATACACCAGCACCCTCCAACAATATCTCCAACAGGTCTTGAATTGAGGGTTGTTGGGCGACAGGTCTCAGTCGATGACCCTGTCAGAGGGTCCTGGCACGGGGTATCCATTCCTTTGGGGGCTCCGCATCACAGAGTTGTTTACCAGACACTCGACCTCTACCAATATACGGTAGCTGGATGTGGATGGAATGGTTTGATCGTTTTTGTCGGGGGGCCGAAAAGAAAAGAATCAGGGTGCGCACGCCCCGGTCGTGCCAGCTTGGAACCTTTTCGGCTTTGAACCGCTTCGCAACGCCGGACACAGGACGACTCCAAGCGCTTCGGAACGAATTTGGTCGGCCTCTTCAACCAGACGCTCGGTGGTTGGTGGTGTGGGTTGGGGGAGAGGCGGTTTTGGTCGGCTCCTAAAACATCGAAGGGGACCTTTGGGGTGGGGTTTGGGGGGGACACTTCTAAAGCATCCAAAGACAGGTTTGATCGGTGTATCATAGTTTATACTTATATGGCAATAACTTATATGGCAATATAATATATAATATATGATATATATATATCCTCTAGAAGTCGGACATGCCTGAAATCAGGGACCCCAGGTCCGACTTTACATCTCCCCGAGCTTTGTCTCGGTGGTGTTGACTTGGAACCTCTGGTTGAGGTAAACCGTGGGGTGTAGCCTACTCGTTGTTTGCAGACGATCCTCCAAGCATTTTGGGTCGAGGTGGCCCGCCCAGCTCTGAAGGGTGGCTTTGAGTTGCAAGTTCAGTGTTTCCAGTCGGGTAGGACCACCGAATCCATGGGAACGTCGTTGGCTTGTCCACGTGCTTGTTTTTGAGGAAACGTCCGGTGAAGCATGGCCAGAGCTGGTCCCCCGTGCCAGAAGGCGGGTCGGCCAAATCTCTGATGAGTGATGCAGCAACGCGTGAATCCTATGTCAGATGAGTGATGCAGTAGACCAAATCTTTGGCGACCGATACCAGGGCCTCCTGGAATGGTCAAGGGAGATAGCCGCCGTCCTCTTTGAGCCAGCCAGGCGGCTTACGTCAAGAGCCTCTAGGGAGCCTCTATGGCCCATGAAACCACGGCACGTGTTGCATGGTGTGGAGAAGGTCACCGGTCTCACACGGACGAGTGAAGGAAAGTCCGCACCAGTTCCACAAAAAACGATCTTTGCATCTCCCACCCTCCGGTCACCAGTCCTGCGCGGGCCCAGATGTTTGGGAGGGGAAAGTGAGAAGGACCGACTTGGCCCGAAAGTTTGAGAGTTTTGAGGGTCCGGGGGGTTCCAAGAATTTCTAACTAGACTAGCGTCAGGAGCTTCGTCAGCTTCGTCCTGTGCGTTTCATGATTTTTCATGTCTCTTGGGCATCCCAGATGTCCAGATGTCTATGACCCACCCAAACTCCCCAGGGAGGTTCTTCCCTGCCCAGATGAGCCTGCAGAAGGGGCACCCGCCGATCGGGACCAAAGAGAGGCGCGTTCGAGCGCCGCGGCCAAGCGCCGCGAGTAGCTGGGGGCGTGGGACAGTGGCGTTTGGACAGGTTTTCTCCTGGGGGGTGGCGTGGGCAAACAGTATGGATTCACACCTGGTTCTTCAACATGACCAAACTTGAAAGGTCACCAACTGGGACTCCAAACAGGTCACAAACTGAAGAAGCTGGTGCTTTCATGTTCACCGGGGGAATTTCGGAATCAGCAGGCCTGGAAAAGACAACCGTGGGCTACAGAAAGAAAGATGTTCATCCTGATGTTGTGAACTCTGAGAGCTCCTGGCAGACTCCGACAACTCGCACATCTCGTGCCAGTGAATTCAGTTGGATGAATGTTGGATATAACGTCCCCAAACCACCCTCTACCCATCTTCAGAGGGTTCATGTGTGAAAACGAAAAACACGTGTTTTGGAGGTTTTTTGTGCCCGTCATTCCGACCGCTGGAGACCGCGACGGGAAGCCATGGGAGCTCGAGCTTCCCCGGCCCCCTGCAGGACGTGACGATCCGCGCCGTGGCGGGCCGGCACGCGAGGGACTTCGTGCCCGAGCGCTTGCCGTGGCAGATCCTGTGCCGGCTGACGCGCATGTGCCAGATCACCTGGTTCATGCCGCTGGGCGACTGGTGGGAAGGGTGAGAGGTGGGACAAGTGAGAGGGGAGGGTGGTTGGTCGCAGTCAGCCTGCAACAGTCGTCACACGAGAAGATCCTATTTTAGAGATGCCCCCTGCAACCAGGGATTGGGATATACCAAGTTAAATAAAGAGGTGATAAAAGGTGCCTCTCAAAGAGCCTTAGAGGAGTCCATGTCTACCTATTTGGGGACCATTAGATGAATGGACGGATTGGGTGATGGGGCTTTGATAGAAGTTTGGTGTAGATCTGGTCTTTAGGCCCCCGACGGCCCCGGTGGCGGACCAGGACCCAGCCCCTTCGTTTGTTGTATTCGGAACCCCTATTTTTCTAGGATGTTTTTGTAGTTTTTTTTCGTTGTTTTTTTTTGGATTTTTTCTCCTACTGCTTTTGCTTTTGCTCCAGAGAAGTCTTTCCTAGCCTACATGCAGCGACAGCGCTCTGCGGCCACACTGCAGGAAGAGCTACCCCGCATTGGCCAGTCACACCTGGATCACAGTGATTTCCACTATTTGCAGGATCGGTTAAACTCCGACCTGGGTGGTGTTACGAGGCTGTCTTCGTTGGATTCTCGTCTGACTGCAGCAGGCGAAAAGTTGCGTGTTGTGGATATGAGTCTTGAACCTGCTCTGGTCGTAGTGCCGTTGATATGTCCCAGTCTGGTTTCTCAAGTTTTCCAAAGTTTGGCGCGGCCATACCACTTGAAGCTGTCCACCGATGGCACCTACAGACTTCTCCTCAACACTGACTACACTTTGCTTAACATTGGCATCAACGTCAAGCATTGGGCCAAAGCAAAGACAGTTGCAGAGGGAGGCCATTGCTTTGCGTGCCGCTCTCAGTATGTGCCCTTGGCTTTTGCCATTGCGTCTTCTGAAGCTGGTCCTGCATACACGCATTTTGCTTCGACCTTCTTTCGCGTTTGTCAGCACCTTGTCCCCGGCTTCTCTCCGGAGTGCGTGCTGCAGTGGCATGGAGACATGCATCTTGGAATTGAAGCGGCCAGAGTGAAAACCGCTCCCTTGTCCGTGAGGCTGTCAGATTGGGCTCATGTCACCGGAGCTACTTCTTCAGCGCCTGCTGGCTTCGCCGGCCTGGTGACCAAATACCTCCCCAAGGATGATTTTCATTTCACTTTGCTCCTCCGTTGGTTTCGCTTGTCTCGGTACATGCCTGCCTACCTCTTCCACCTCGTTTGGACTTGCCTCTTTCGATCTCTTGGGGAGCATCCCATCGTAGCACCACTCCAGCGTCAGTACTTTCACAAAACCCATGAACTCTGGGATGCTCATTGGCGGGCAGCTCCAGACCGCATCATGCCCGGCACTGCTGTTGGCTCTGCTCCTCAAGAGTCGTGGCATGGGCAATCCTTAAAGAACCTTGTCCATGTCCGCGGCAGCACGCCGTATGACTTGGCAGTGAAGCTGCGTAGCACTGTCCTTGCGTGGGAAGTCGAAAAGCTGCAAACCATGAAGAGGGAAGGCCGCAGATTTGAAGACTGGCCGCAAGCCGAGCGCCACCTGGACCAACAGGTCTTGAAAGGTGACGTGGCATTGGCACGGCAGGGCCGAACCTCGGCCAAGAGGATATTTGAACTGCAACAACATGTCCGGTGGAAAGACCCAGCCGACAATGTATGGTTCATGGTCCCTTCTTCCATGCTGGCAGTTGCTGGCACATATGGCAAGAAAAAGACTTACCAACTTCATCAGCCAGTGACACTTCCACGCAACGCCCTGCAGCATCTTGCGACATTGTGCACTGCAGAGTCCCTCGCTGTTGCTTCTCGCGCCCTTTCTGAGTTAAAAGTGTTTGATGTTGCTTCAGGCTCCTTGGGCTTTGGGGCGGCAGAGCGGATCTTTGCAGATTGGCGCTGTGTTGTAATGGGGCCGAAGGTGCTAGACTACTGGCGCTCCCACTGCCAAGATCCAGAAGGCAACCACCATATTCGCACCTTGTGCTGGTTTTGTGAGACTGCCGCAAAAGCAGGGCCTTGTGAGCATAGCTACTGTGCGTTGTTGCATGAGGGTGTCTTGTCCACTGCTCCGGCTGCGCAGCCTCGCAAAAAGGGTCGCCCACGTAAAGAGCATCAAGCTCGTCCCTCTGTCCCTGTTTCCGGCTCTCTTCTTTTGCCTGGCCCACTGCTGTCCAGCTCGCCAGCTTGTCTCCAGCAGTCCTGCCTGCGTCTGAGTCTGGGTGTACTACTCTTCTGGAAGTCTTGCGTTCTGCTGGGCTTGAATCTCTCCGCAAGCGATTTGTGTCCCAGGGTGCCACAGTCTCGATTCTTCGCGACATGAGCTACACGGACTTTCAATCCTTCTTCTAGCTCTCCCTTGTGGATGCACACCGCCTCAAAGTCGAATTGGGAAAGGCTGGGTTCTGATTTTGTCACGAAAGGTAGCCCTTTAGGGGATACCTTGAGTTTGTCTTGCGAAGCAAGTGTTGGGACGTCCGGGTCTAATAATTGATCGCTCAATTCAGACCCCCCCCCACCCCCCC